TGTTAATAATTATTGTTTTTTTTCTTTTCAAATATCTTATACTACCTAATGTCAAATTTTTAATAAATGCATTAGAATATAAAAGTAAATTTGGTTATATACTATCTTTAAAAGTTATACAAAAATCATTTAAAAATGAAAATTGTTGTGATATTGATGCTGTATAAGATAATGCTGATTCTTGATTAATATCGATTCTTGAGACAATGCTAATTCTTGAAATAATGCTGATTCTTGATACAATTCTGATTCTTGAAATGATACTAATTCTTGAGATGATGCTGATTCTTGAGTCAATGCTGATCCTTAAGATGATACTAATATTGAGACTAGTTTCTGAGTTAAGTATAATTTTTTAATTTATAAGTAAATTAATTAATCTAATCAATTAATTAATCAAGCAACTTACTTTATTTAATAGCAATTTGCTGGTAGTTCTAATTAAAAAAGTTAGAGCCTCCTCCTTTTGCTTATCTGATAGTCTTGAATAAATTTTAAAAGAAGATTTACTTTGTATCTTGAGATTGCTATAGAAGTAATAATTAGTATATTAGCTTAATAGAAAGAAGTAATTGGGGTTGTATAGTCTGAATGATTATCTATTAGGGTTCTACTATTCGATTTGATTTGATTTGATTTGATCAAATATTTAAATCAAATCAAATTCAAATCATAGATTTATTTGATTTGATCAGACAAAATATTCGATTTGATTTGACAAATATTTGAATATTTGAATTGATTTGAAGTGAAACTATAGATTCAATAGCTATTTATACAAAATTTTATATGATAACTGCTATTTTCATTCTAACTGACAAGGGGTGTTTTGATTATAAGAACATTTTTTACTTAATATACAAAATCGATTAGCTTAGTAAAATTTTGCGTAAATTAAGATTTTTGAAAAGTGATAAAATTTTTAAAATTTTTAATAATATTTGAATAATATTTGATTCAATTTGATTTGACTTTGAGGAACCCTATTAACTATATCACAACTTTGAGTATTAATACTAGCTACATTACAAATATTTTTCATAAGACTATCACAAGTTTTGGTTCCAAGTTTTGAATCAAGATACCATTCACCTTTAACAATAGCTAAAATTTCATAATTAATATTTTTTATTTTTTTTATTTTAAATAAAATTTATAATATACTTTTTAAATATTTATTAATTTTTAAATATAAGAATTCACAAATAAAATTAGCTAGTCAACGATCAATATATAATTTTATATTATAAAT